TCACATCATGTTGGCCTCCTTGGGCAACACAAAATCAACAAGCTCAGCCTGGACACTTTCCAGTACCTCACCCCAGTGAGTGCCAGGGCCCAGGGTCACCAAGCCTGACCCTCATTCTTAGCCTCTCTAGACACTATGGGTCCTGTAGTTATTCTGGCCCCTGTACATCATGCCACAGGTAGGGCCCATTCAGGCTGAGTCAGCAGACCAGCCCTTTCTCTGCACACTCTCCATGTGTTACCTTCGGGTTTGTCCTAATCCATTGTGTGTCTCCCCTTTCCCACCCCCAAACGTTATTATTTTTAAGTCGGCCCCAATTGTTTGATGCTGTTGCTTAATTTTTATCCTCTGGGTTTATTTTATTCCTTAGTCTCTTGGATTTTATCACTTTTTTATTCCTCAGGTTTAGCTGTTTGTTCTCTGTAATAGTGTGGACACACACACACACACACACACACACACACACACACACACACACGCCGGGCAAGTGTTGACCACTCAGTTATACCGCCAAACCCCCTTTTCAGGGTACAAGGTCTTGTTATGGTGCCCAGATGGCCCTGAACTCCATCCTCTCTAGTGGTTGAGACAATAGGTGTGTACCTCTGCACAGGCTACCCCTGAGTCGATGTTGGGGTCTCTTTTTAAAATAACACCTTGCCCTCTCATTAGGTCAGCCACACATTAAAGGTAGTCACAGGTGACAGTCCAGGCCATCTGCTGCGGTCTCAGTAGGCAAGAGGCTGTGGGGAGCTGTGGGATCTAGGTCTCAGGCTGGACAGTCAGAGAGAGGCATGGACAGGACAGAGGGAAGGCACTAGGGGACACACAGGAGGAGCTGCAGAGAGGGACCAAAAGCAGGAAGGAGGTGCAGGCCAGACCTTGGCTTGCGGAACTGAGAACTGCCTGTTCCTCCTCAGCTGGGAACCCAGGGCCTCAAATGCCTGGTGGTGGACACCATGACTCATAGCCTAGTGCTGGCTCCTGTCCTCACCCGTCAGCATGGGCCCAGCTGACCTAGACATTCCCAGGCGCCCTCACACTACTCCATTGTTTGGAGGCCCAGTAAGGACAAGGGTCTGGCCCTGGGCCTTTGTGGGCGGGAAAGGGACCCAGACCCAGCCTCCTCTCTGCAGTTTGGTTTAGTCTTCCACAGTCAGAAGAGGCCAGTCACGGGGGAGGGAGAGGAGCTCTTATCTCTACCCATCCAACGGCCCTGCCCTGTCTCCTTACAAGGCCAGGCCTCCTGCACCCCACCCTCTCCTGCCTTGAGATGTACAAGGCAGCTGTTAAAGGTGACCGGGCTTGGCCTCTGGGTTCCCAGGGCTCTGATACCCTGGCCCCTCTCACACTGTCCCTTGATCTCCTTACCCACACACACTTACACCTGGCCCTCCACCCCAGCTCAGATGCCCCATGTTCAGGCTGGGTGACAGGGCCCTCAAGGTCCTCAGGCAGCAGGGGTGCGGAAGCTTCTGAAGATGGAGGACCTCTAGTGGCATTTGTGCCCCATCGTCCCCTCCTTCCGAAGAGACTTGTCCTTGACCACCGTAGCCTCAGATCCATGTTCACCCCAAGTCCTGTGCTCTCCTAGCTACACAGACTCCCTGTTGCCACTCTAGTGTGGCTGTGCCTCGCCATGTTACCTGACTACCCCCCCCCAGGTCTATGCTTCTATGTGTCAGCCTGTAGCACAGTATCTCTGTGCTGCAAAAACAGCCTCAGGATGTCAAGTCTGGCTCCTTCCTCCTGAGAGACACAGCTGCCACCATCAGCAAAGCGAACCCCAGCTTGGGCTGTGTGGGAGAGGGCTGGGCTGGACAGAGCCTGAACTACTAGACCCAATTCTCACCGGGTTTATTCCCTATCCAAGGGTCCCTCTGTGGAACTTTACCTCTCCCAAGTTGCTTAATATCTCACTCCTTCACAGGCCCCCACGAGGCCCCCACAGTCCCCCACAGGCCCCTGTAGTCCTCCACAGACTCCCACAGGCCCCCACAGGCCCCCACAGGCCCCCACAGGCCCCCACAGGCCCCTGTAGTCCTCCACAGACCCCACAGGCCCCCACAGGCCCCCACAGACCCCCACAGGCCCCCACAGACCCCCACAGGCCCCACAGGCCCCCACAGGCCCCCACAGGCCCCACAGGCCCCACGAGGCCCCCACAGACCCCCACAGGCCCCCACAGGCCCCCACAGACTCCCACAGGCCCCCACAGGCCCCCATGAGGCCCCCACAGGCCCCCACAGGCCCCCACGAGGCCCCCACAGGCCCCCACAGGCCCCCACAAGGCCCCCACAGGCCCCCACGAGGCCCCCACAGGCCCTCACGAGGCCCCCACGAGGCCCCCACAGGCCCCCACAGGCCCCACAGGCCCCACAGGCCCTCACAGGCCCTCACAGGCCCCCACGAGGCCCCCACAGGCCCCCACAGACTCCCACAGGCCTTCACAGGCCCCCATAGGCCCCCACAGACTCCCACAGGCCCCCACAGGCCCCCCACAGGCCCCTACAATCCTCCACAGACTCCCACAGGCCCCCACAGACTCCCACAGGCCCCCCCACAGGCCCCCACAGGCCCTCACAGGCCCCCACAGGCCCCCACAGGCTCCCACAGTCCCCCACAGACTCCCACAGGCCCCTACAATCCTCCACAGGCCCCCACAGGCCCCCACAGGCCCCCATAGCCCCCCCACAGGCCCCTACAGTCCTCTACAGGCCCCTGTAGTCCCCCACAGACTCCCACAGGCCCCCCCCACAGACCCCCACAGGCCCCCACAGGCTTCCACAGGTCCCTACAGTCCTCCACGGACCCCCATGGACCCCCAGAGGCCTCCATAGGCCCCCACAGACCTGCTTTTTCACCCAAGAGTCAAACTTCTCATAAATTTCCTTAGGGGATACTGCTGTAAGGTGGGGACATTAAGATGGTCTCCAGATGCCAAAATGAGCTTCTTTTCACCCCAGTCTTCTGAGACAGGGCCTCACTATTTAGCCTCAGCTAAGCTATAGCTTGCCATGAAAGCCAGATTGGTCTCGAGTTTGTAGCCACCCTCCTGCTTCTGCCTTCCAAGTTCAGGGACTAGAACTTTGTACCATCACACCTAGCTCAGAGTGACCCTTAAAAACACAAACCAAAGGACTAAGGAGATAGCCCAGTCAGTAAAGCACTTTCCGCGCAAGCATGAAGGCATGAGTTCAATCCTCAGTCACCCACATAAAAAACTGGGTGAGGTGGCACACATCTCTAATTCCATACTGGAAGGTGGGGGATTGCAGGGACCTGTTAACCAGCCAGTTTAGCCAAATCAGCAAGTCCTGGGTTCAGTGAGAGACTCTGTCTCAACAACTAAGGTAGAAAACAATAGAGGAAGGCAGCCAGTATCAACCTTGGGTTTCCACACACATGCACACATATGTACACATTATTCACCCCTACAAAAACATAGACATATGCAAACATACATACAAAAATCCACACATATAAAAATCACCAAACAACCTCAGTGCTCACAGGACCCACGTTAGCCAGTACCATTCCATTCTCCCGCCTCTGACAGCAATCTTTTCCTGCTCTCTCTCCACAGGGTACCTCGTGTACCATTCTTGGGGGTCTTGAGTGGGCTGAGGCCTGGGTTTGGAGTGGATCTCTTCCTGTCTCTCTGGACCCCAGCCCAAGAATGGCTGCTCCCTTGATGCCCAGCAGAAAGAACCCTGATTGTAGAAGGGATGTCTGAGGCAGGGCCCAGAGGTGGGGGCAGGGGAATGTCCTTTCTCAACCCTCTTCCTCCTCGGGCAACTTCCTGTCTCCGGAGTGGGCACAGCCACCACCAACCACAGCCCTTTACCCTCCTGGTGAGATCTTTGAGAAAATGGGAAGACTGGTGTCAGACTGAACTCTCCTGAAACCAAGCAGTGAGCGCTGTCCCGGGGGAACCAACAGCAGACTCCAGAGCAGGCGAACCCAGGGCCAGGCCCTCTAGTTAGAGCATGCGCCTCAGGCCAGGCCCCACTTCCTTGGGTCTGAGAGGGGAAAGGCTTAGTCCTAAAGAAGCCCAAAAGGTAGCCTTCTGCCCTGGGGTTCCACCCTGAAGCAGCTCCCTCTCTGTAGAAGTCCCAGCCCTGGCATGTGCTAGGCTCAAAAGCTGGGATGGGTTCCCTGGAGCTGTACACTCACCCCACTGGTAGAATTGGACAGGCAGGCAATAAGGAGATTGGGTGGAATCCACAGGGAAGGGTGGCCAGCTGCAAGTACAACACAAAGTCCCTAGACAGCGTGGGTGCAGGTCACAAGGTAGTGGGAACTCCAGCTTCTGGCAAAGGCCTAACTCTTAGCACTGTTAGCTCTGGACAGTGGAGAACCCTGGACAGCCTGACACCAGCTATGGAGGTCCTCAAACCCTGCAGAGATTAGTTCCTATTGGGTCATGACTTTGTAACCCAGCCCTATCACATACCCTATGAGGCTAGACCTTTTATGTCTGTGCTATTCAGAGGGGGTGAAGGATATCCAGCTCACACAGCATGGTCTGATAGAAGCCATCTGAACCAACCCAGCCCCAGGAGGTCATTCCTGTATTCCTAGAGATTTCTGACAACAGAAGGTAATTGCAACAGGGAACTTAATCCCTTGCTTTGCCAGGGTCAGACCAGAGTTGGCCTCGGACCTGCCTGCCAGGCCCAGGCCCCTGTTTGCCATCAGGAGGGAAAAGGGTCAATGCCAATCACTTAACTCTTCCAGAGAAGGGCCCCCTTCCTGGATTCAAACAGGAGACTGAAGAAGCAGACAGGGTCAAGTGCTTTCTGCGATGCCCCCTCCTGCTCAGTGCCTGGCACTGTGCTCCCCAGGGCTGTGCTCCTCACATCTGTCACCTCAGGACTCCAGGCTAGTTTTTCCAGATGCCAACTCCCCCACTCCCCCAGAGGCTGCAGATTTCACCTTCTGCTGGGACCTCTTACAGGTGCCAGCTCTTGGGGGTCAGCGCCCTCCAGCAGGCAGCTTAGGGGAGATGACAGCACGAACATTTCCCCCTCTAGCACGAAGTATGAAGTCCCTGCATTTGGGGAAGTCACAGGGGTCAGCACATCCAAAGTGCTATGGATCAACCTTGCCCTGGGAACACCACCTTTGTGACCATGGTGTCTCCCCTGCCAGGTGATGTCACCAGAAGCAGTCACAGAGAAAGGCGCTGTTTCAGTTTAGGGCAGGGGCCCATGGTTGCCCAGAGCTTGGCAACTATTATTCCTACCAGGAAAGGATTCCCTGTCAAGCTGGGAAGTGGTGGCCCACGCCTCTAATCCCAGCCCTCAGAGTGGATCAGGGAGTGAGTTCCAGGACAGCTAGGGCTACACAGAGAAACCCTGTCTTAAAAAAAAAAAAAAAAAAAAAAAAAAAATTGTCTCCCTACCTATCCTGCTGGTGAAGCCAACAAAACCAGGCTTAGCAGGCCTAGGAGTAGCTGGGTCGCTGATGCTGAGAGGCAGATAGTGTCCATGGGAGGGGAGGGGCTGTGTCAGAAACCTAGAGGGCTTCGTGAGAGGCCCCAGCACAAGAACCCACTGCTGTCTGAGTGGAAACTCTGCCAGCCCAGGCAGTACAGCTTCCAGGATGACAGGGCTGCGTTTGTCTCCAGTGCTCAACGGAGAGTTAAATGTGGGTGAGGAGTGTGGCAGACCAACTTCAAAGAACCTGGCAGAATACCTCACCACCACTGCCAGCAGCTGCCCAACCCACCCAGCCTGCAGGAACTTCGCTGCTTGGGAAGGCCCTATACCTCTCGTTTTGATGCCACCAGTCAGAGCCCTTTTCCTGCATGCATTCCTGCAGGGGGGTAGACAGATAGGTCTCAGTGTATACAGTTATGAGGAGGCACACGGCTCAGGAGCAGGGTAGCGGGGGGTGGGGGGGGCGGGAGTCCTTCTGATCACTGATCTTGATAATTATGTTTTTAATCAAAATTGCCTTCTCAGAGAGAATGCTTGTCCTCACACCTGGGGGCCTGACCCCCGCTGTGGCCCAGGCTTGGCTTTGGGGCTGGTTCACACAGGACACAGCATGTATGGGAGGGATACTGGTCCAGATAAGCAGCCTCCTGAAATGGAGTCTACCAGTATCACAGAGGCAGGGAACAGGGTGGAGTGGCAATTCCCAGCTCCCCATCCAGGTCCCAAATACCACCAACCTGGCAGATCCCAAGCCTGGGGCCACACCCACCTTTTGCAGGCTCAAACAGGCAGACACCCTGCATGCCTAAAGCAGGCGTGTCTGGTCTTGGGCCACTCTACCATGCCCAGTGGCTGCGCAGTAGGTGTGAGTCATAGAGAAGCAGGCAACAGTTCTTGGAATCCGAGTTTGGCCAAGGGTGCCTGTTAGCCCTGAAGGCCTACTGACCTCCCCAGACGGCTGCCCCAAGTGATCACAACAACACTGTTCCTGGACGCCAGCTAGCAAAAGCCACTCAGGTATGCCTGGAACTCTCCATGGACCGCTCATGTGGACCAAGGAGTGGTCTCTGGCTCCTGGGACCAGTTATTACAGCAGGGAGTCCAAACACTTGGTGCTGGACCCTCAGAAGTCAGAGTGTTGGGCAAGAAGAAAGAGGCAGATGGGATGGCACCTGGGTGCCATCACCATGGTGCCCAGCTAGCTTTCTGTCTCATCCCTGTTGTCCCTGGAGTTCATGGGTAGGGTGGGTGGGGCTGACACTGGTCCAGGTTCAGCCATGTGACTCTGCACCTCCACATTGCTTTACAGAACAGAAAAGTGAAAGTCAAGAAGTATAATTTGGGGCCAGAGAGATGGCTCAGCAGTTAAGAGTACTGACTGCTCTTCCAGAGGACCCAGGTTCAATTCCCAGCACCCACATGGCAGCTCACACCTGTCTGTAACTCCTGTTCCAAGGGATCTGACACCCTCACACAGACGTACATGCAGGCAAAATACCAATGCACATAAAATAAATCAATCATTAAATTAAGAAAAAACAAAGTATAATTTGCCTGGGAGGCCCACTGGGACTCGGCAGGAGGTAGCTCCATCTCCACTAGGCACAGGCTGAGGGACAGTGAGGGAGATGGAAGGGTAGGTACCTCACACAAGAGGCCATCTCCAGCCCCCGAATGCCCAGACAGTACCACTGGAGGGCTACAGAGGCCCGCTGGGGTCCTTTACTCTCAGAGACGGTCTCTTGGGTTTGAAGAGTGGGTTTTCTCACTCTCCAGACTCCTCAATGCTTTTACCACACCTGGCATACACAGGGCACTTAGGTCAATGACCTTCCCTGGCCTGTCTGTACCTACCTAACAGTTACACCCCAGCCCAGAGAGTCTCTTGCCTTCCTGGCCTTAAGTTCCTCATCTCTTCTGCCCAGGCTGCCAACTTCCTCTGCCAAGCAGGGTTAGAAAAGAGCCATACATGTCTGTGCCCAGGGAATACCAAAGACATGAGCTGGCCAGAAGATGGCCGGAGGGCAAGGCCTGTCAGAATCTCTGACTCTTGGTCCTCTCATAATGGAGCTTTGAGGGCAGAATCCACACCTCAGTCCCTGTAGACACCGGTGTTTGCCCACAAGACCAATGCAGGCAGGGACCTGGACACCTGCCCCTTGCCCCAGGCCTCTCCAGGCGTGGCCTAGCCCAACCTCAACCACAAGCAGAAATGGTCCATCGTCCCTAGGTGACCAGGACACACAGAGGAAGCGCTCTCAGTAGCTGACTCTCAGCTACACACCACTAGCAGGCCGTGGGCACTCATAACCACCCTTGGGTAGAAAGTGGTTCCCTACCCTGATGCAGATGTAATGGAGGTTCGGCAGCCTGTTGAATATCATGTAGCTGGACTTGAACCCAGGACCCCAGCCTAAGTTTATGCTCTTCCTTTTGCCCCGCTATGACTAAAGCAGGTCATTTTGACTCTAGACCACCTGGACTTCCAATCCGTGGGCCTACATGTGCACATGCATCATTATGGGGGCAAAGAGATGCTGGGGGCTGACTCAGTACCCCACTTCCTCTACCCATGTGAATAGGAAGGGCCGAGGCGGTTCTGGAGTCTACCTTCCTTCCCTCTGTCTCTCTTAGCCCAGCCTTCTGAGTGGGCTTCTATATAACTGAATGGGGACATGCCCCAAAAGGCAAGAGTCCCTTTGTACTCCCCGCCTGCCAGGTGGCTTTGCCCATCAATTCTTGTCTACTCTTTCAGCTCATCCCCTCTGTCAGGGTCTGTCTCCATCCAGAACCCAAAACCAGGTCCCAAAGAGCCAGAAGGGGGCGTGGGAAGGAGGGAACCTGTCTGTGGTTCTCATCTCCTTGGAACCAACTCTCAGGACCCAGGACAGGAGAACTGGATCCGGGGCCCTGGAGTGGGCTTCCCTGCCAGGGAAAGACCACAGCCCTGTGCCCCCTCTGATCCAAAGGGACCAAAGCCAGTGAGGGCAGGCTCTCACCTAGGGCACATGGAGTTGGTATGGGCCTGACCTGAACCCAGGTCGCTGCTCCCAGCCCAGGACCTAACCCTTGGACCCATTCTATTGTGAAACAATTCTGTTCATTTCACCATTGACCCAGCAGGTGACATTTCCAGAGCCCCTTCAAATGGTCCCACCCACACAGTGCCCCGGGCCAGGGTGGCATCTCAGGGGTCATCCATCTGTGAGGTACACCACCACCAATGTCAAGGAATGAACAAACAGATGCGCAGAGAGGGACCCGCAGGTGCTCAGGATCACAAGAGGCGGCAGAGGGAATTGGCTGCCACGGGGCTCTCAACCTATTAATAGTCAAGGCCCAGAGCAGCAGAAAGTGTGAGCTGCAGGGTGGAGGACCCACATGTCCGCTAAGCTACAACTCTCGGAGACTCTCTTCCTCAAGATCTGTAAATTCCCCACACCCAGTCATTCATGCATCAGTCAGTCGGTGTGAATCAGCTCTAACAGGTGGCTTTTCTCGCAAACTTGGGTTACCGGGAGGGAATGAAAGACGATTCACCTTCTGAGTCTTTGGAGCCCCTCTAGGTGGGCCCTGTAACGAGTGCCAGAGGAGCCGAGGGGCACAGGACACACGCAGAAACCCTGCTTCACCTCCTGGATGGACAGCCGAGAGCTAAGCCCCTGCAGGATGTCGCCGCTCAGCCCTGTGAACCCCACTCCCATCCCACGGCGGGACACAGGTTCAAGGGACCCAGACGGGCCTCTGAGACTCGACCGTGTCGTACAAGTCCACGTCGCGTCCCGAGACCCATGCAGTGCCTTACCTGCCGGTTCCCAGCCCACAGACCCTATGTCCGGGAGGCGGATCCCTGCTCTGCTGCCCAGCTTTGCAGCGAGCTGGGCCGGGAGCCAGGCGCTCTGGCGCAGGCCCCGCCTCCGAGTTGGCCCCGCCTCCCAGGTTCAGGTCCCTCCCTCGCCTTTCCAGTTCGCCCCACCCCTGGAATTCGCTACTCCACTTGTTACCTTCCCTGTTCTGGCAATGTACCATAGTGTGGGCTAACCACTCTTGTTGGTTGGAGACTGGTTGGTGGACTAAGATGCAGGGTTTGTAACCAGCAAACCGTAGGTGCTCACTATATTTAGACAGATGAACGAGCACGCACGTGTGCGCGCGAACACACACACACATACCACACCTTCTATCTGGTGGCCTCCTTGGAGGAAATGTCTGGTTTCTTTCTGGAGCAGCATCTGTTTGCTGCCTGTGCCCCTGCTGGGTGGATCTGACTCAAATATAGGAACGAGGTAAGGACATCCGGTCACCTGGTCACTAATCCCTCAGAGTCAAGGAGGGTTTTCTGGGAACCTCTTACTAGGGACTTTTCAGCTACGTCCAAAGGTAATATTGACTCTAGGACAAGCGCTGGAGTTTCCTGGCCAGTGCTGGATTCCAGGGCTGAAGCCAAGGACACAGGATCCCCTGTGCACAGCCACTAAGGCCTTTAACTAAGTCCATCTGTAGACCTGGAAGATCCCATTTAAGGGGCAAGGACTGGAGAGAGATAACCTGTTAAGAGGAGATGGCTTGGCCAGGCAGGGATGTGAGCCTGGATGGAGCCAGTCTAGCAGAACCTTAGGAAAGTGTAACCTTCCAAAAAGAAGGCTCACTGCTCAGTCTCCATGGGAGCTGACTCCAGGTCCTAGATTCAGGAAGCTATGGACCAAGGAAGGACAGG